GATTACAGTCATGTGCCACCACACCTGGCTAATTTTGTATTTTTTAGTAGAGACGGGGCTTCACCGTGTTGGCCAGGCTAGTCTTGAACTCTTGACCTCAAGTGATCTGCCCACCTGGGCTTCCCAAAGTGCTGCGATTACAGGAGTGAGCCATAGCACCCAGCCTGAGTTCACATCCTGCCCTCATCCAGAAGCTCTTCACCATCAATTGCCAAGACTGGTTCCTCCAAGCCCTTTCTACGTCAGCCTCATCTGTGCACAGCTCCCTGCGGCCACTGCTCTCCTTGAAATACGGATCTGATAGTTGGACTCCCTGACTCAAAAATCCACCTCCAGTTCCTGTATCCAGAGTCAAACCTAAACTCAACAGTGGGTATTCAAGGCAAATGTCACTGTTTGAGCCCTTTGCCCATCACAGTGTCTCACTGGTACCACGCCAAGCTCCTCACCGCTCCCCACCTGCGCCCTCTATTTTCCTGCCACTCTGAATTTTTTTTGAGACGGAGTCTCGCTCTGTTGTCCAGGCTGGAGTGCAGTGGCAGGATCTTGGTTCACTGTAACCTCCGCCTCCCAGGTTCAAGTGATTCTTGTGCCTCAGCCTCCCGAGTAGCTGGGATTACAGGCATGCACCACCACGTCCACGCCCAGCTAAATTTTGTATTTTTAGTAGAGACAGGGTTTCACCATGTTGGTCAGGCTGGTCTCGAACTCCCAACCTCAGGTAATCCACCTGCCTCAGCCTTCCAAAGTGCTGGTATTACAGGCATGAGCTACCGTGACCGGTACTGCCACTCTGAATTTGATGCTCTCCTCTGCCAAAATAGTCTTAGAATCGCAAACCCACATGCCACAGATGTCTCTGCGAGGCCCTCCATGAGCCCGTTCCTGATCTTCCTTCATGCTTAGAATCATGGGTGTCTCACCATGTGATGCTTTGTAGCATGGTTATTTGCACACATGTGAGTTTCTGTCCATTAGATGGTAAAATGCTGGACCGAGGCACTGTGTCTGACTCCTTTCATCGGAATTCTTCACAGTGCCTGGGACATTTTGGGCCGCAGTAACAGGAACTGATACTGACAAAGTGTCTAAATGCTCTACAATTGATACTGATATGAACAATTGCAGGCGACTTACGTTCTGTGGTTTAAAACCTCAGGATGTCACCTTCCAATGCTCTTGCACTGTCTCTGTGTTTGTATGTGTCTGTCGTTACAGCTTGAACCTAGGGCTGACCAACACGCTTTTGGATCAAAGGGAGCCTTTGGGTTTCAGCATCCTGTAAGGTAATATATGACTTCACAATAAGTAATCTGTAATTTCCTTTTAATATAGGCGTTAATACACTTTAGTGTCTTCAACCACATAGATTTTCAACAAAGTGGAAAATAATTCAATATATTCTTTGGTATTGTTTAGTTTCCTCATACCAAGGATATTTTGTTGGATTTCTGGAATCCATTCATGTATTCATCCATTCGGTGTTTTCTGCAAAGTGCAGTTGGCCTCTCTCTTTTCTCTATACTTTTTATTTCTACTTCTCATTACATATTATGCCTTGTATTGTATTTATATAATTGCATATGAATTGTATGTGCATATATAAAAACTTAGATACTGAGGTATATTTCTATTGTCCTACCAGGATATAAGCTAGTGTACTGTTTAGTGCAAAGTCGACCTTCAAAATCTGTATGTTGAGGGTGGGCATGGTGGCTCATGCCTGTAATCCCAGCACATTGGGAGGCTGAGGCGGGTGGTTCACCTGAGGTCAGGAGTTCGAGACCAGACTGACCAACACGGTGAAACCCCGTCTCTACTAAAAATACAAAAAATTAGCTGGGCGTGGTGGCGGGTGCCTGTAATCCCAGCTACTTGGGAGGCTGAGGCAGAAGAATCACTTGAACCTGGGAGGTGGAGGTTGCAGTGAGCTGAGATCGCACCATTGTACTCCAGCCTGGATGACAAGAGCAAAACTCTGTCTCCAAAAAAACAAAACAAAAAAATCTATGTGTTGAGTAAATGATTGGCTCCAGCACAGTGGGTGCCAAGCACCTTTGAGAGAGCCTTTTCCTCCTGCCTCTGAAGTGTGTGTCGTGGTCCTGGTGGTGACCAGAATTCTCACTGCTGTATCCATCTACACTCCGTCCATTTTAGACAAGTGGCTCATGTTTAGGATTTCTGCCTGTCTCTCTGTCTCTGTCTCTTATTCTCTTTCTCCATCTCCTTTACTAAAATTAACCTTGCCTGGGCCGCCTCCACTCCTCCAGGTGCCTTTGCCTTGGTTACTCTGTAAGACTGGAAAGCTGAATACAACCCGAAGACACTCATGTGTAGGCATGAAGCTCAGACCCCTCAGACTGGTTAGAAGGAAGCTTTCCTTGTATGCCTTACACCAATAGTTTTCTTTTTTCTTCTGACATCTCACTCTGTCACCCAGGTTGGAGTGCAGTGGTACAATCTCAGCTCACTGCAACCCCTGCCTCCTGGGCTTAAACGATCCTCCCACTTCACCCTCCTAAGTGGCTGGGACCACAGGTATGTGCCACCATGTTCTGCTAAGTTTGTAATTTTTTGTAGAGACAAGGCCTCACTATATTGCCCAGACTGGTCTTGAACTCCTGGGCTCAAGCTAGCCTCTTCCCTAGGCTTCCCAAAGTGTTGGGATTACAGGCATGAGCCACTGCTACTGGCCACACCAATGGTTTTCAATCCTCATAGAATTACTAGTGGAGCTTTTAAAAATACAGATGCCTGGGTGGTTCTCCCAGGCGCTTTGATTCACTTGTTCTAGGGAAAGACTCGGGCATCAAGTTTGTTTGTTTGTTTGTTTTGAGATGGAGTCTCACTCTGTTGCCCAGGCTGGAGTGCAGTGGTGCAGTCTCGGCTCAACTGCAACTCCACCTCCCAGATTCAAGCGATTCTCCTGCCTCAGCCTCCCAAGTAGCTAGAATTACAGGTGCATGCTGCCCTGCCCGGATAATTTTTTTTTTGTATATTTAGTAGAGATGCGGTCTCACCATGTTGGCCAGGCTGGTCTCAAACTCCTGACCTCAGGTGATCCACCCACCTTGGTCTCCTAAAGTGCTGAGATTACAGGCGTGAGCCACTGCGCCTGGCTTGTATTTTTACAGACTCCCCAGGAGGTCTTAATGTGCAGCCAGGATTGAGAGTCACCACCCTGCTTCATGCCCTGCAGGCATCCAGTCGCACCACCTACCCACAGCCGGCCTCACAGACACACTGCTGCTGCCTCCGTTTTTGTTTTGTTGTTGTTTTTTGTGTTTGACACAGAGTCTCGCTCTGTCACCCAGGCTAGAGTGTAATGGTACAATCTTGGTCACTGCAACCTCTGCCTTCCAGGTTCAAGCGATTTTTCTGCCTCAGCCTCTGGAGTAGCTGGGACTACAGGCGCTACCATGCCTGGCTAATTTTTGTATTTTTAATAGAGACAGAGTTTCACCATATTGGCCAGGCTGGTCTTGAACTCCTGATGTGAGGTAATCCACCCGCCTTGGACTTCCAAAGTGCTGCGATTACAGGCGTGAGCCACTGTGCCCAGCCACCCTGTTTTTGACTGGTTGACAATGCTGTGACTGACAAAGCATGAGCTGCAGCCATACATTGCACACTGGATATACAATTTCATTTTATATTTTTATTACAGAAAATTTCAGACATACACAAAAGTGGAGCGAATAGTACAGTGAACCCCATGTACCCATCACCGGCCTCAATAGTTATCAACGGTCTGAGCTGATCATATTTATCACCCGCAACTATGTTGTTGTTATTAGCATATTTTATTTTATTTTATTTTGAGATAGGGTCTTGCTCTGTTGCCCAGGCTGGCGTGCAGTGGTGTCATCGCAGCTCACTGCAGCCTCCACCTCTCCAGGCTCCCATCTCAGCCTCTGGAGTGGCTGGAACTACAAGTGCACACCACCACACCCAGTTAATTTTTTTTTTTTTTTATTTTTCAGATACGGGGTTTTGCCATGTTGCCCAGGTTGGTCTCAAACTCCTGGGCTCAATTGATCCTCCTGCTTTGGCCTTCCAAACTGCCGAGATTACAGATATGAGCCAATGAGCCACTGTGTCCCACCCCAGCATATTTTAAAGCAAATCTCAGACATGCTAGGAATTCACCTGTGAATACTTCAGTATAAATACCTAATTGTAAACATGGCTAAAAATGGAACTATGCTCATATTTCTGTCTTAGATGAATATATACATTCTGTCCGTTGCAGAATTTCTCAACCTTAGCACTGTTGGCACTTTGGGCTGGATAATTCTTCATGGTGGGAGCTAGCCTGGGCCTCGTAGGGTGTTTACCAGTATTCCTGACCTCTACTCATTAAATGTCAGTAGCTTCCCCTCAGTTCTGACAATCAAAAATGTCTCCAGACATTGCCAGATGTCCCCTGGAGGTCGAGAAGCACTGGTCTATTGGATATCTTATGAAGTGAAGAACTATCATCCATTATTTATAGAAGGGTGTTTTCTCTCCCCCTTTTCTCTTCTATCTGAAAAAAAAGGATATTGAAATCAGCTTTGCAAATAAGCAGTGATCAATTGACAAATTTACTTCCTCAGAAGACTACAGAGAAAAATGCAAATAAATTAATGAATGAAAAGCAGGTCGAGGCATGGTGGTTCACACCTGTAATCTCATAGTTTGGGAGGCTGAGGCAGGAGGATCACTTGAGCTCAGGAGTAACAGACCAGCCTGGGAAATATGGCTAAACCCTGTCTTTATGAAAAATATAAAGAATTAGCTGGACGTGGTGGCATGCACCAGTAGTCTCAGCTACTAAGAAGGCTCAGGCGGGAGATGCTTGAGCCCAGGAGTTCAAGGCTGCAGTGAGCTATGATTGCCCCACTGCACTCCAGCCTGGGTGGCAGAGTGAGATCCTTTCTCAAAAACAAAGAAGAAAGGAAATAAGTAAAGAATGAGAGATTATGGACGGGAGTGGTGGCCCACGCTTGTAATCGCAGCACTTTTGGAGGCCGAGTTGGACGAACCATTTGAGATCAGGAGTTCGAGACCAGCCTGACCAACATGGTGAAACCCCATCTCTACTAAATACAAAAATTAGCCAGGCGTGGTGGTGGGTGCCTGTAATCTCAGCTACTCGGGAGGCTGAGACAGGAGAATCACAGAACTCAAGAGGCGGAAGTTGCAGTGAGCCGAGATCGCGCCACTACACTCTAGCCTGGGTGAGAGAGCGAGACTCCTTCTCAAAAAAAAAAAAAAAAAAAAAGATATGGGGAGGGGATATCTTAATACTTGCCATGTATGAGCAAATCCAAAATTCTATAAAAACCTGAAATTTAGGGGTTCCAAATTTTACATACTTAAGTACTTTCTTTTTTCTTTCTCTTTCTTTTATTTCCTTTTTTCCTCAGCACATCTTTTTTATTCTGGCAGAGCAAGGGATTTGTGCCTCCAATTTCTCTATGGCAACATCTGGAAAACTTAGCTGCTTCTCTAGACCAGCGTTTCAGAGATGTCAGAGTAAATTTCCTCCAGAACCCAAGGGGTTACAGCATTTCCCATGCTGCAGGGGACAGACGGTGGGGTGGGAGAGTGGGGCCTCACCTAAGTGGGACATCAATTATCCAAGAAGAGTCAAGTCCCCTGTTTGATCACAGTGAGCCTCCTAATCTTAGAATTCAATGTTTTCAGTTGCCTTTTACCTTCCTTGAAGCACACCCTTTTCCTTGCGACTGTCTAAATTGACTGGCTGGGTCAGATTATAACTCACTTGTGAACTGGGATAGGTTTATCACCAGATCCCTCCAATAGGTGCCTACAGTTCTCTGTTCTGATGGCTTAAATTCTGTGTGTTGTGAAGGCAAAGACCAGAGAGGAAGACTGGGGAGTTCTTTGTTTCTGGGAAAAAGCGTCCTCTAGAAGGAGTTGAGGACGAGGTTCAGGTTGATTAATGGTGTATTTGTTTCTTAAATATTAGAGTCTATTTACCCATGTCAAAGCGTCAAGAATACCTGCAGAGCTCCGGGGAGCAAGTGCTGGCCAGTTTCCCAGTGCAAGCCACGATTGACTTCTATGACGATGAGTCCACTGAGTCTGCTTCGGAAGCTGAAGAGCCAGAGGAAGGACCCCCGCCCCTCCATCTTCCACCCCAGGAGGCAGGAGGTCTGCAGGAAAACGGCAGAGACCAGGGCATCAACTGAGGGCAGCGATCCTCAGGAGGGGGTGACTCCTGGGGGGAGGGTCCTCTCCCTCATGGCGACTCCTCAAGGGGCGGCGAGTGCTCCTCATCCAAATGAGTCTGTCTCTGTCTCCTGGACCCTGCTCCGGGACCTGCCCCAACGTTCTCTTGGGGACACCCGAGCCAGGACACCGCGCATCCCTGCTGAGTGTACAGAGGCTGGAGACTTCTCGGGCAGCCCCTGGCCCGCACACTACTCAGGGCAGAGAGTCAGCTTTTACTTTTCTTTCTCCTGGCGATTCGTTTTTGGTGCACTCATGCATACCTTTGAGAGAGGATTCCAGGACACAGAGAAGGTCTGTGTCAACAGAGTTGTTATCTGGTAGAGCCCATTTTCACAGCTCCTTCGAGCATTGTCACTCGCTGATCAGGTGACGGATTCTTCCTAGTCACCCACTCCACCTCCTACTTAAACTGAGACTCATTACTTAGCTCTTTCTGCTTTTGTAAAAATAATTTAGATATTAAACCCCATTTTAATCTATCATCCAAGGGCAGATGCAGTTGCTTAGTAGCATTTTGGGAAAAAAAAAAAAAAAAGGTTTGGTTTGGTTTGGTTTTGTGACAGAGTTTCGCTCTTGTTGCCCAGGCTGGAGTACAGTGGCACAATCTCGGCTCACTGCAACCACCACCTCTTGGGTTCAAGAGATTCTCCTGTCTCAGCCTCCCAAGTAGCTGGGATTACAGGTGTGGCTAATTTTTTGTATTGTTAGTAGCGACTCGGTGTCACCATGTTGGTCAGGCTGGTTTTGAATTCCTGACCTCAGGTGATCCATCCGCCTCAGCCTCCCAAAGTGCTGGGATTACAGGCATGAGCCACTGAGCCTGGCAATAAAAAAAAAAAAAATTGTATTTATTAAAAAATTTTTTTTTACCCACCAAATAATTCCCATAAGAGTAACAGAAAGGACCAGGCATGGTGGCTCATGCCTGTAATCCCAGCACTTTGGGAGGCCGAAGCGGGCAGATCACCTGAGGTTGGGAGTTCGAGACCAGCCTGACCAATGTGGAGAAACTCCGTCTCTACTAAAAATATAAAATTAGCTGGGTGTGGTGGCGCATGCCTGTAATCCCAGCTACTCGGGAGGCTGAGGCAGGAGAATGGCTTGAACCTGGGAGGCGGAGGTTGCGGTGAGCTGAGATTGTGCCATTGCACTCCAGCCTGGGCAACAAGAATGAAACTCCATCTCAAAAAAAAAAAAAGTAACAAAAAGGGATTTTTAGGAGACAATTAGATAAAAATGTATACGATGACTGTATAAGGGCTGTGTGTATGAATTTATAGGGAGTAGAACCTTCACTCTTAGTTGGTGACTGTTTGGGGCTTATTTTAATAGATGAACACTTTTTAAAAATTTTTTGTTTTTTTAACCATACCCTTAACCCATGAACACTATTTTTAGTTAAAGTATCTAATGTAAAATTATTTTGAGTTTTTAATGTTTTGATGATAAATGTGTATTCCTGAACGTTTTTGACTTACTTATCTTACATGTGGTGTCTTCCTGTATGTAGTACATTATATCGATTTCTACTTGAAATAAATATTTTGAAAAAATGTTTGATAATCACCTTTTTTGCTTAAGACATTTTTAAATAGTTCCTGCTTTAAGGTTTTTTGGTTTTTCATGGTTTTTAAAAATAATTCTTTTAAAATTATAAACTATTAATATTTTATTTCAGTATTCTATTTTATTTTTTAAAATTTTAGACATAGGGTCTTGCTCTGTCCCTGGCTGGAGTGCAGTGGCTCAATAATAGCTCACTGCAGCCTTGAACTCCTGGGCTCAAGGAATCCTCCCACCTCAGCCTTCGTGGTAGGTAGGATGACAGGTGTGAGCCACCATGCCCAGCAATGTTTTTTTGAGACGGAGTTTCACTCTTGTCGCCCAGGCTGGAGTGCAACGGCACAGTCTCAGCTCACTGCAACCTCTGCCTTGCAGGTTCAATCAATTCTGCTTTTGCCTCCTGAGTAGCTGGGATTACTAGCATGTGCCACCACGCCTGGCTAATTTTGTATTTTTAGTAGAGATGGGGTTTCACCATGTTGGCCAGGCTGGTCTCGAACTCCTGACCTCAGGTGATCCACCCACCTCGGCTTCCCAAGGTGCTGGGATTACAGGCATGAACCACCGTGCCCAGCCACCCAGTTAATTAAAAATATGTTTTTTGTAGATACAGGTTCTCAATATGTTGCCAAGGCTGCTCTTGAACTCCTGGCCTCAAGCTGTCCTCTTACCTAGGCCTCCTAAAGCACTGGAACTACAGGAATGAGCCACCATACTAGGCCTAATATATTAAAAAGTAGGAGTAATGAACGGAAATACTTTTAGCGATCCAAGCGCTATAGAAAGTACACATTGCAAAGTAAAATCACATTCTGCTGTTCTCCCTTTCCTTTGTGTAAAGGTAACAAACATCAATAGTTTTTTATTGCGTCAGTCTTTTGAAAAATTCCTCTTTTTGTGTTTTTCTTTTCTGGGACTTTTTTTTTTTCTTTTAAAATGTTTACTCTTTTGGTTTTTGAATAAATTTGGCTTTTTCTTTTAAAAATTAAAAATCGTATTTTATTGTTTCTTTTGTTTAAAGTACATCTTTTCAGACTTAAAAACAATTAAACCTGTGTGACTTTCAGAAAGGATTTAATATGACCCCTAATTTTGCTGGCTTTTTCACAGAAAAGTACTGGATCACAGAAAAATACTAGAAGTCTTATCCTTACTCCTTCATGTGATGCTTGAGATAAAAACTAAATAATCACATCTGGTTTTGTTGAGTTTTCTTGGTAAGTCAGTTTTATTGACAAATAAAAGCCTCGTCCAATAATAAGTTTATCCTAAATAAACCAAACATAGTCCAAATTCTGATGGCATCAACCTCCAGTTTAAAATATGCTGCATGTGCCAGGCAAGGTGGTTCACCCTTGTAATCCCAACACTTTGGGAGGCTGAAGCAGGTGGATCACTTGAGTCTAGGAGGTCAAGACCTGCCTGGACGTGGTGAAACCCCGTCTCTACTAAAAATACAAAAAATTTACTAGGTGTGGTGACACATGCCTGTAGTCTCAGTCACTTGGGAGGCTGAGGTGGGAGGATCACCTGAGCTGGGAGAGGTTGAGGCTGCAGTGAGCTGAAATCACACCACTGCACTCCAGCTTGGGAGACAGAAAGAGATCCTGCTCAAAAAAGTTAATTAATATATGCTGTATGATAGTTTTACATTACATTAATTCTAAATTACTTAGAATCTGGCCAGCTTAGTGCAAATACAAAACAAGGCACTTTAGCTGTGGCTAGCAATGGAATCACATATACTGTGGGTCAGACATTTTTGATAGCAAGGATATGGTGAGCTTGGGGCCTCCTTAGCTCTCCGATTTTTGCAGTTACATGAATGAACTAAAAGTCTGAAACCTAAGAGCTCCAGGGTTTTGATCATGTACCCCTCTCACTTAAAAAATGTAGCTGAGCATGGTAGCTTACACCTGTAATCACAGCACTTTGGGAGGCTGAGGCAGGAGGATCACTTGAGCCCAGGAGTTTGAGACCAGCCTGGGCAACAGAGGGAGACCTCCTTCTCAACAAAAAATTTAAAAGCTAGCCAGGTGCAGTGGTGTGTGCGTATAGTCCCAGCACCTCAGGAGCCTTGAGCCTAGGAGTTCAAGGTTGTAGTGAGCTATGATTGCACCACGGCACTCCAGCCTGGGCAATACAGTAAGACTCTGTCTCAAAAAAATACAAAATTAAAAATGTGTGCCTGCCCCCTAACATATATTCACTTATGAATTATATGTTATGTTGAGCTATGTGAAATTGCTGATGTTTTACTATTTTTAACCTACAAAAAAGGCAATTTCATATGGTTCACCCAACATATACTACTGGGATAATATATTGCACATTACAAAGTATACACAAAACACATATTTTAAAGGATCGTCCAGGTTGGGCACAGTGGCTTACACCTGTAATCCCAGCACTTCGGGAGACCGAGGCAGGAGGATCGCTTGTGACCAGCCTGGGCAACATAGCACGACCACATCGCTACAAAAAAAAAAAA